ATGCGTATTATCTCCTGAGAAGAAGAATATATGCGAAGATTATGCATTTAAAAAGGAGAGGAGGTATTCTACCATAGATTTATATGATAAAATTCCATCAGTAGACCTCTCTTAAGAAATAGGAAGAAGAGACGTCCGCGTGTATCTGTGATGCGCTCATTGATTGTACATTGACTGAAGTTTTCAAATATTCCCTATCTAAACCATGTTGTTTCATAATTGCTGAAGGTTGTTTGAATAATTAATTAATACTAAAAATTATGGGAATCCAAACGGCACAGATCGTGAGCCATATATTACTCTATTGTGTTATAATTATAATTATAATATTATTATAATTCATCTATATGTTACGTAAAGTCATCCGATCACACAGAGGTCAAATCACAGAGGTCATACAGCAGATAAGCAGAATAATCTACTACATTAAATTATCTGCCCTTGGAGTACACAGAGGTTATCCAGCTGGTAATATGATAGTTATCCACTGTGACTTCTGTACAATAAGGTCAAGAAGAATAAACGAAAAACTATAGCTCGATACTTTTCAGCTTTTTATACATAACAGATATAATAAAACCGTTCGATACCGAATTTGATCTCGGGTCGTCAGCACACACGCAGACATTTCATTATACAAACATGCAAATATTCGAGAATTTTCACAGCCGGTAAAACGGCGCCCGTCGAAACATCAAGGCGCAACGAGTAAATTGACATTTACGCCATACGTTAGATAAATTGTCGACACGATTTAACACGATAGCAGTCGGTATAGAAATCACGAGAATCCGTATCTGACAAAGCTTTACCGACATACTGTTCCTGTGAGGAAACAGGCAGCACCGAAAATAACCGTAAAATAACAACCTTTTTTTGGACGAGGAATGCAATCGACACTCTCTCTCTATCTTGTTCGAAGACCAACCTGCGATTTCCCTATTCTTGACACCACCAGTAAACGCAAACGATTGTCACAGAATACAAATTATATTACAATATACGAATAAAATAAAAATTTTCAAGTTTAGAAATACTGCTAGTACAAGAACGGTAGGTGTTAGCACTATCTAATAGCTCTGACACCTCACCAATGTATGATTGGGTTGAGTATAAATACCAATAGCAACCGCAGGCTTTACAACTACATCCCCTAGAGATGGTCGTGGACTCAATAAAGGGAATGGTCAACGTTTTCAAAAATGAGTCATCGTCCGATTCGTCGCATTCTTACGCAGAGTATTTAAATTACCGATCACTCGCACGATTACGAAAAATAACGAAGAATATTGCTGCCATTTCAATTGATTTTCGTTATAATTTCGACATAATTTAATTATGAGATATCGATCCGACCCGGTTCGAGTGTGAAACGAATAAATCGATATTTACGCCATACGTTAGATAAATTGTCGACACGATTTAAACACAATAGCAGTCGGTGAAGAAATCACGAGAATCCGTCAAGCACGAGTCAGCGACTGCAGTAGAGGCGAAAGAGACGCAAACATTTAAATCAAATAAAGAGGGGGGCAGCGTCGCCTCCGAACGCGCAACTAAAAGATAAAATTTCCGTCAATATTATCCATAAAGTCTGCTCTGCCGTGCTGTGGCTGTTGCTGCTGCTGCTGCGGCGGCTGCTGCTGCTGCTGTTGCATGACAGGAGGCAGTTGTTGCTGCTGCTGTTGTTGTTGTTGTTGTTGCTGCTGCTGCTGCTGTCTCTGCAGCAGCAGCTGATGCATCTGCTGTTGCTGGGCCGCTTGCAGGTTGTGCTGCTGCTGTTGCTGCTGTTGTGGCGGCGGCGGCTGCGGCTGTGACTGTGGCTGCTGCTGCTGCTGCTGCTGCTGCGGTTGTTGCTGCGGTTGCTGCTGCAAAAATAAAATAACATTGGCATCACTTGCCCTTGCCTCAACTATAACGTGTATAATCTATAACATGTTAGTTAGTGTTAATTACAGAGTGTGGTTAATTACTAGGTGTAAATGGGAGGCCTGGACTGGGACGCAGAAACTTATCATTATCATTACTTATCATTACAACTTATCATTGTCATTACTTATCATTACAACTTATCATTGTCATTCTACTTATCACACTTAACCCAATCCTGTCATTTCCCTTGCCTCCCTTGTCCCTCGCTCGGCTTAATTCTTTTTCTACCGCCCCTCAGCTATCTTCCATGACGCATTTCCTCAGTCTCTCACACCTCTCTATCTTTCACCCAGCTATATTATGCAGGTTTCTTCAGTCCGTACGGCAGGCCTGAAATGATTGCTCGCGCATGCGCATTATCTCCCGAGAAGAATAATATTTTGCGAAGATTATGCATTTAAAATGGAGAGGAGGTATTCTATCATAGAGTTATATGATAAAATTCCATCAGTAGACCTCTCTTAAGAAATAGGAAGAAGACCTTGCATGTAAGGTGCACGCTGCATATACCAGTCAGTACAGGTACACTGCAGGTTTCTTCAGTCCGTACGGCAGACCTGAAATGGTTGATAGATATAATTTTTTGCGAAGATTATGCCCTTAAAATAGAGAAGAGGTATTCTATCATAGAGTTATATGATAACATTCTATCAGTAGACCTCTATTTAGAAATAGGAAGAATACCTTGCATGTAAGGTGCACGCTGCATATACCAGTCAGTACAGGTACACTGCAGGTTTCTTTAGTCCGTACGGCAGACCTGAAATAGTTGAGCGCGCATGCGCATTATCTCCCGAGAAGAAGAATATTTTGCGAAGATTATGCATTTAAAATGGAGAGGAGGTATTCTATCATAGAGTTATATTATAAAATTCTATCAATAGACCTCTCTTAAAAACAGGAAGAAGACCTTGCATGTAAGGTGCGCGCTGCATATACCAGTCAGTAAAAAATCTGGCTATGTTAGTGTGTTAGCGCGTGCGCAATATCTCGCCAGATAAGTTATATTTTGTGATGAATATGCATTTAATATGGTTAGGGGGTATCAATTATTAACAATGCGTAATTAACGTGCTCGTTACTCACACTTCGGCGTCGGGGCCGGCTCCGCTCAGGAACACCTGACACTGTAGAGACCGGCTGACGCGAGCGTTCGGATTCATGCTGCGACTCTTGTCCTGCCACGTGAGCGTGCCTGCAAGCACGGCCGCGCGCGAGTGAGCGTGAGGTCGCCATGACAACGTGTCGCTAACGAAGCGCGGTCGCCACGACGATGCGCCGCTAACGAAGCGTGGTCGCGCACAACAACGCATCGCTTATGAAGCGCGGTCGCCACGACGACACACCGCTAGTGAAGCGCGGTCGCCACGACGATGCGCCGCTAACGAAGCGTGGTCGCGCACGACAACGCATCGCTTACGAGGCGCGATCGCCATGACGACGCGTCGCTGATGCAGCATGGTCATTACGGCGCGACGCTGATGCAGCGTGGTTGCCACGACGACGCGGGGCTAACGCAAACTTACATTCAGATTTGTCACTACCCTTACATCTGTAGTTGTCACAAAATTTGTCACCAGACGTACATCTAGTTTTGCCACCAAACATACGTGTAGTTTTGCCACCAAACATACACCTAGTTTTGTCACCAGACATACATCTAAATCTGTCACCAAACATACGTCTAGAAGTGTCACCAACCTTATGTCCAGCATTGTCACCAACCTTACATCTACAGTTGTCACCAACCCTCACACGTTGACACAGACTAACCTGTCCAGATGGGACGTTGCGGAGGAACCTGTGGGATGCCTGCCATCGCTCCAGGGATGCCCACGCCCGCCTGCTGCGGCTGCTGCTGCTGTATGCCTGCATTCACAGGCAGGCCTGGGGTCATACCTGAGGAACACGCAATCGCTCGGTTATGGGTGGTTCAGGGAAGGGGTTAGCACGGTGGTTCAGGAAAGAGGTTAGCACTGTGGCTCAGGAAAGAGGTTAGCACTGTGGTTTAGGGAACCCTATTCGTACGGTGGTTCAGGGAAGGTATTCGCACAGTGGTTCAGGGAAGGAGTTAGCACGATGGTTCAAGGAAGGGGTTAGCACGGTGGTTCAGGAAAGGGGTTAGCACGGTGGTTCAGGGAAGATGTTAGCACGGTGGTTCAGGGAAGGTATTCGCACGGTGGTTCAGGGAAGGTATTCGCACGGTGGTTCAGGGAAGGGGTTAGCACGGTGGTTCAGGGAAGGTATTCGCACGATGGTTCAGGGAAGGGGTTAGCACGGTGGTTCAGTGAAGATGTTAGCACGGTGGTTTAGGGAAGGTATTCACACAGTGGTTCAGGGAAGGTATTCGCACGGTGGTTCAGGGAAGGGGTTAGCACGGTGGTTCAGGGAAGGGGTTAGCACGGTGGTTCAGGGAAGGTGTTAGCACGGTGGTTCAGGGAAGGGGTTAGCACGGTGGTTCAGGGAAGGTATTCGCACGGTGGTTCAGGGAAGGGGTTAGCACGGTGGTTCAGGGAAGGTGTTAGCACGGTGGTTCAGGGAAGGGGTTAGCACGGTGGTTCAGGGAAGGTATTCACACGGTGATTCAAGGAAGGTATTCGTACGATGGTTCA